ATCTCACTATCTATTATCATCAACATACAGTGTAATGAAATGTTTAAAATTAACAAATGGAAATATGTACATACCTCTCAACTCTTCATAGAAATCCACTAGAATAGTTGTATTTTTCTTATATGCATAATTTCACATTTTTATCTTTTCACTTGCAGTATTTTTAATTTTCGATTCAAATTATTCTTATATTATCATTTATGCATATACATTAACTGATTCCCGTGGGGCTTTGTGAAGGTATTTCGGTAGACTCCCTGCAGAGATGCATTGCTGAAACACTTATACATGCCATCTTGTTTATAACCTTTCAAAATCCAGGCGACAAGTTAAACTTGTAAAAATCATCAAACTGTTCAAATATGATTTTTAAAACAAATGCAATACATAATAAACTAAAATATAAAAGTAAGACCCAAATACAATTCAACTGTCTCTCTAACTATAGAATATTTAGGTAAGAAATCACCATACACGCTATAGTCGATCAAGCAGACAAAGGTATGAATAGCAATTACATGTACACCGTAAGGAAAACTGCATGCTAATTTAAAATTAACCATTGGTAGAGTACAGTTTAAACTGAGCTCTCTAACAACTATATCACTTGTGTCAACTAACTACATGTACATTGTAGATCTTAAAGTAAAGGAGGTTGGCATGGCAACTGTGAAGGGTTGGAAAATTTATTTCTTTTTCCCATTGAATACAGTTTTAGGACAATTGACAATTAGGTCAAATACACATAGTTAATGTGTAGATACCCCTGTACGTCGCCAGCTCACATGGCCAAGACTGAACTGCTGCTAAAGTTGAGATTTTTCATGTGACACAAAAACTACAGTTTAAATATTTTTTTTGAAAAGTTTCGTTTGAAGTAAAGTAATTAAAACTTAGATAAAAGAAATTCAAAGTATACCATACCTTAAATGTTACTTTCATTGACATATATATTGATAGTAAAGTGGTTTAACTAAATTTTTAATGTAACGCAGAAAGGAATTTTAAAATGGCACTAGAGCAATAGGGTTAAGGAAGTTGCATTCTTCAGTGAATGCTGGTACAGCTTTCTGTACTTTGATACATATGTATTACAAAACAAAATAATGTTATGTGTAGCATTTTTTTAATGGTAATATTATTTTTGAAATTAACAGATTCATTGTTGACTTGGCCACAAGGAAAGGTGGAGTGATCGTGTCAAATGATAATTATCGTGATATTATGAATGAAAGAAGTGACTGGAAAAAAACAGTGAAAAAGAGGTAAAAAAAATAAAACATAATATTGAACAAAAATAGAAATATTGTGATAAAACATTGCAAAAAAAGAATACTGTGGCATAATTGGTGCAAAATCAAGAAGTTTGAGATAATTTTTGCTTCTCCCTCAAAAATTTTGGGGATATTGAGAATGGAAGATGTAAGAAAATAATACTCTTATTCTGTATACCTACTAATACCAAAGATCTGAAGATTATTAGCTATTAATCATCATCAACTGAAATATATTAAAAATATGATTCAATTTAGTATAGTAAAGAAGTTATCAGTCATTTCAAAAAATGTACTTACATTGACATATAACAGATATTTGTTTTGCAAATGTCTAAAACTACAAAATATATACAATCATTTAACTACTTCATAAGTTATATTGAGTGAGACAGAAATGCCAACATTTATAATTGTAACAAAGTTGCTTTGTCTAATATCAAAGTATATTTGATCTCTAGTTTTATTTCATAATCTTTGGGGCCTGCAGGGGCAAAATGAATTTTTTTTCTCCATATTATCCCTCAAAAACCAAGAGGGAACTTCTGGCATCTTCTTCCTCTTTTTTTTTCAGTATATTTTAAGTTTTTATTTTGCTGGATGAATGAATTGAATATTTAGGTACTTATTTTGTTAGCCAGTTTATCATATTTTACTTGCATTTTGAAACTACTGTATATTAGAAAGGTTTGAGTTATATATGTTAGAATTTTTAAAGAATACTGTTAGTTTTTGTTAAGTGTGTATAGTTTCATCTACATGTATACAAATTGTGTACTTGAGAATATATTTTTACAAATTTGTTAAGAAGTAAAGGAGATAAGTTGGAGGAGGCTCCCGTTTCCCACTACTTTCTACAAAACCTTTGGTCTTGAAAAGTGCAAAATAAAAAAATATGCATATGATAGTGTCATTTTTTACTTAATTTTAAGTTAAAACACTGAAAAAAATTGATCAGTAGAAGCATTTTAGACTTATTTGTTAATTATTATATCATAATGCATATCATTTATCAAATTTGGACATTCTTTCTTTGAGCTAATATAACATTTGCCCATTTTTGTTAATTTCATCATTCAATGTGCTGGCACTGTAAAATATTTTATCATGTCCGAGTATATAAAAAAAACTTGTTGTGGTTATTAATGAAACTATTCTGATGTTTTGAGAAATTAACCATTTAATCACATCTTACCTCTCTTCAAATCTTACCCAATACTTAATTTATTACAGTCAATAATTTAAAGATATAATAATAACTTGCCCCCTAGCAACTCGAATATAAGCCTTAAGTCTTAACAGTAGGATTCAGGTTTGATCCCTGCAGCAGACACAGTACAGATAGCCCATGATGTAGCTTTATGTTAAAGCAGACAAATAAATAAATAGGAAATTACTCAGAGTGATGCTGCTTATCCAGTTATATTTACATTCTTATAATGTTATCTTAATATTTTGCATGCAACTTAATGCTGTCATTCTATAAAGCATTTTGTACACATACTAATATTGGCAAGTCTAAGTGGATTGTGGTAAATTCTGTATAAAGAATTTCTATATATGAAATATTCTTTTGTATATTTTATGTATAATTTACCATAAATATTTTTCTGCTTTTCCAGGCTTCTTATGTACTGTTTTGTAGGTGATCACTTTATGATACCATCTGATCCTCTTGGAAAAGATGGCCCACATCTGGATGATTTTTTAGCTTTTCAATGACTTAAAAAGGTAACTACACTTATAATGTGTAGGTATGTTTTATATATATAGCTGTATTTCTCCTTTCCACTGATATATTTACAAAAAATATAACATTGCTACAACAAGACATATTTTTATTCTTTAATTTAAATTTGTGTGCCTGCAATTCCAAAAGCCACAAAGCAGAGAAAATTATAAAATATCAGTCACCTACTAGTTCTTTACTATGCCAAATCCAGAGTGTTTGAAAAAAGTCTGAAGTGCACCAGTTTTGTTTCGTTTTTGTTAGTTTATACCTTTAGTTATGAAAAACAAAATTCAAAATTGACGGGTGATCCTAAAATAGTTTTGTTGTGATCACTATAATGCGGATTGTCTTGACAAAGAAAATCAGATGTGTCATTAAAGTATTTCTGCTCAAGATTCATCTGAGAATTGATTACCTCAATTTGGCTCAGAATCTGACAAGTCAGAGTTCAAGGTAATGTTTGTGTAAAGAATAAATGATACTTATGTCCATCACATAATTTGCATATCTACAGTTTTTTTGCTGGGGATTTTTTTTTTCATTATCCCTTTACATTTTATCTGGTATTTACTGTCCTTTACAAGGAACTGTCACTAAATCAACAGTATACGGTAAACTGAATACTTGATAATACTGACATCAAATGCATACCATGTTGAATGGCACTCTGTAAAAGATTGTTGCCTGAAACTTGAAATAAATACTCACATGGAAATTTTGTTTGTCATTTGCTTTGACAAAAATTGTAAAATAATTTGAATGGTCTTCTATGTCACACTAACCTGCTAGTCTATTTCTTCAAAATCAAGGCCTAAGATGTAACTAAGCTGTAATGGTATTCAAATAATTATTTTATCTGGTCACGGTGACCTTAATGACAGCAACAATAAATCTGTAGACTGAATAATTGGAAAAAACTATATTGAGAATGAGCTAGACCTATACCAAAATCAGTAAATTGATTTATTCTCTTTCTGTTGGTTATGAATCATCCAACAATAAATGTCAGGGAGAGAATTACATTCATTTTTGAAAAAAAATGGAATGTAATAGGAGGGTGTGGCATGTGGGTTTGACTTTCTGATTTATATCTCCATAAATTAAGAAGATTGGAAGCTATAAATTTACATTATGTCTTAGTCATCTATATTCTATGAATGCATAATTTATGTTAAGCTCAAATTGGAGTGGAAAGAATATGTAAAATGGCAATTTGGAGTGAAGAAATGTCATGTGAAGATTGAGAATTTATTTAAATAATTCTTTTTGAAATTAACACATATTAAAATTTGATTTATTAACTATGTTTGATGACAAGCTTATTGACATAAATTGATAATAAAATAGTTTAATTAAGTTATGAATATAACCCTGTAAGAAGGTCATGACATTTGCACTTTGACCTACCCATATCCAGAGGCTTTAGATGTTTTTCGTTCATTTGACAGTCAATTTTTTTATCTTCCAGTATGGTTACTTTTCCAGTCATATAAACTGATTTTCAGTAAGTTTTATGTACTGTATAAATTCTCATATGCACTTCATTTTTACTGATGCTGTAAAAACTCATAATACATCTTTCTCCTTTTTTTTTTTTTTTCCTTGGTAACTCTAGACTCGGCAGACCAGATTCATTAGCTGTATAAAATCTAGAAGTGTAGGATTGTAGCTACACTGAACCATATATGGCTTCACTGAAGATATTGACTGCAGTGAAAATCGTAACTTCAATGACCGTAGAAGATGCCTACTTAGTTGATAATATTATGTACCTTTAACATCTTCCAAGAATCATATGTAGCATAATTCTAAACAATTGAATAAATGGTCAGCTTAGAAAGTTGAAAGATATTTGTATTTTTTATACATTTAAAGGTGAAGTTCAGTGTGATGTGTATTTTCATGTAACATGATACTTCACACAATAATAAAAATAAAGATATAAAATTCTGTGTAATATTGCAGCTATGTTAAACTTTTTTAAAGATCTACAAGTTTAGTAAAAGATTGTGTTCATTCTGTGTTACACAGTTGTATTTTTAGTGTTTAAAATTTTTTAATTCTTTTTATTTTTGTGTTATATTCATGGTGAGAGATGTGATATAATTGTTCATATTATTTAAAATAGTAAGTCTGTCTATCAGATTACATCTTTATTAAAAAAGTATTTTAAAAAACAATGCCTAAAAATGTTCAATTTGAAAAATATTTGGGAGCACTTAGTACTTGTTTTTCATGCTCTCATTCTAAAAAAAAGTAAATACAATTAAGTATTAAAAAAAATTAGCAAGTTTTTAAGAATTCTTTCAACTACACTGTACAAGTGTTTGGTAAAATATAAAATATCTGTTCAGTTGTGTATACCACGTATTAGCTATGATATATGTAAGCATAAGATATGACAAGTTAAAGTAGAAAAATATGATTTTTTAGAGTTGTAACAATACATAAAATTGAAGGATTTTTTACTTAAAATATAAGAAATAGACATTATCAGAATTAACCCACTATCATAACTGATGTATCTTATTATTCTGAATAAAATAAATTTATTTGCCCTGAATATTACAAAGTGAGAGTCCTGATTAAATAATAGTTTTCTGTATTTTTGATAAAAATGTAATTGAGTCAAATTTACAAAACTTTGCTGTTTAGAAGAATTAATCAACTCAAAGTAATGCTGACCAGGAAGTATGAAAGATATGTTTCAAGCAGATACAGAAGTCATACTGCTCTTATTGTCGTTAACTGTGATGGTGACTTTTACTTCTCTAATATCAATATGCTGTAGTTATCTTTTGAAAGATTTCTAAGAGGAACAACTTTGTAGATTAGGCACTCTTTCTTCCTTATAAATTTACCATGCTATAAACACTGCATTTATAGATATATAAAGTTTTCATATTTTGTTTGATATTTTTGTGGGATAACAAGAATTTTTCATTAACTTGTAAAATGTATTCTTAGGAGGTAAACCTTAAAACGGGGCCCGGCCACTTACTTCTAACAGGAGAGGCCATGCAGTAATGATAAGTTTACCTTTAATATATGGACCAGAGTGTTAGTTAGTGATATGTTCTTGCAGGCAATTAGTCACTTTGTTGAACCTGAATATGCAAGTTGTATTCAACCAAGTGTTAAAGTTGCAAATTACAAATAAAATTTTGTGGGTTTACTAATGTTTAATTTATCCAGCTAGATTAGACAGGTGAACAAATGGTGGAAAGCTGCCCTCACCACCTTAGATAAACTCAGTATTATACAAAAGGACAACAAAGGAAGATTATATCATTTCCTCTGAACATTTCAGCAATTAACACATTTGAGGTGTAAGTGACTTCTCTAATTATGCAATAGGAACATAAAGCCTCATTGTGAACTTTGTCTTAGATGCTGCTAATTTTATGGCTTTATGTTATGTTTTATGACAGAATGACTGCATTGACAGCTTTCTATTTAGTGCACCACCAGTGGCAAGTTAAAGCATAAACAAGAGTTATCGAGTTCATTCATCTGAAATCAACCTTGATGTACTGGTCCTCTTCCTGACAATCACTACTTAAAATGGCTAAGCACTTGCCAAATGTAGTATAATTTCATCTTTTAAAACCTAATATATCTCAGCAATGACTACATCCCAGAAAAGCCAAGTTGCTTGATTGGACGTGACGTCACTTGTATCGATATGAGAGCAAGTCATTGTTGTTCAACCCAATTAACTATCTTTTCCTACAAGTACATTGGCATATTCAGTCAAAAAGTCACTGAATTGCTTTTGCTTCATTGGGTCAAGACTGTTTTCATAATCATCAGCTTATGATTTCAGCTGTGTTTTTGCTTTTTTATTGTTGTCTGATAAATGCAACACTAGAGTTACTTCCACTTTGTTCACCACATTGGTGACCATTCTAGCATAAAGCTGGATAGCTAGTCGTTCATAATTATGAAAGAAAACTGGGACTTCATCCATCCTTGGACAGATAATTGCCTAAGTTAATGTTACTTGCTCTCTGTAAAGGAAATGGTTCCTTTCATGTATTATAAGTAGCACTTATAGTAGGAATGGGGCGGATGCACAATACAAACTATTTTCTCATATACACCTTTAACAACCAAATAATAAATATTCAAATGTATTTGAGAAAGTCAGCAGAACGGATACAAAAATTCACAAAACCACAAATTTCGCGACCTCACTGACTGACTGGCATTGTCGAATGCTTATAGCTGTGTAACAGACTTAACATAGTTATAAGTGCGTCAAATAAAACAATTGCATGGGGACCACGTGCTACTGCTAGCGGTTTTTATATATATATATACTAAACAACACCAAAAGGAAGAGCTATCGGACATGCATCAGGTAATACCTAGAACAGGGACGCCACATAAAATGCGTACGTCCTTTTTCTAACTCCATATGCTGAGTAGGCGTGGGAGCCAACTGACGAGTCCCGCCGTTATATAAAAAAAAGGGACAGAAGGTATAACTATTGGTTTACAAGACATCAAATCCATTTCCCCGAGTTAACTAATTCTGGAGTAAAAACAGATTGATAATTACGTGTAATTATGCAGTGTTGTAATAATTATCAGTGTACTTACATGTAAACAAAGACGGACAGAGTCCAACTTAAACTTGAAAAATACGTGTATAGCTATTAAATATGGACTACATGATAGATGCCATAGTAAAAACGTTGTTTATGAAGTAACTTGTGGCAGATGCTATAGTACTATATTGGAAAAACTTGCCGACCCGTACGTGATCGAATATCTAAACATGTGCGTGACATTCAAAACCTCAATGCTATTGCAGGACATTATGGAAAAGAACATGCCATACCACAAGCGGATGACATCTTATCGGATGTCAAAATTTTATCTAAATGTCATAATTTTCTGGACAGAAAAATTAAAGGATCCATTTTAATCAAGAAAAATAAACAAATTGATCAAATACAAAGGTTGGCCTTTAGTGTGGAAATGTTAATGGCAATTTAAAGATTTTAATACGTTAAACTTTGACAAAATATGTATAAACATTTGTAAGGGTTGAAATATATGTTCAGACATTGTTTTATGTATGTATTCATATAATAAGATAGAAAAATATTTTAGATACATAACGTATTGTTGCGTCAGCGAGGTCACGTGATTAGTATCACGCCACTTCTCTCGAACCTTCGTGAATGCCCTAGCATTTACTAGAT